AGAACAAAAGAAAATAACAATTTTGTACATATTTTCACTCTCTATCAGTCGTGTTGAAAATGACCTAATGAATAGGTCGAAAGCTTCACTATTGTTTTTTGAATAAAACGAAATAAAATGATTGACAAATTAAGAATTTTACGTGAAATAAACAGCAATTTCAGATGAGATAATGACTTCTTTACTTTGAATATTGAGAGAGCTTCTATAGATTCACCGAAAGACACTTAATCTCTGAAGAAAACTCGCTTTGATTTGCTGAAAATTATCTTCGACCTCAGGTCGGGTCGGATCAAGCTATGCTCGGGTCGGGTCGGGTCGGGTCGGGTCGGATCGGGTTCAGATCTGCTCAGCTCGGGTCGGGTCGGGTCGGATCGGGTTCAGATCAGCTCAGCTCGGGTCGGGTCGGGTCACGAAAAAAGTGACCCGTGTCCGACACTGCTCAGAACCATATGGAATCACTTAGAATCAGATAAAATCACTAAGAATAATTGGAAATGATCCAAACTCAGTTATCAACGATTACTTTATATATACATCAACTCATAGCAGCCAAGGATTTTATCAACCAAAAACTGCTATTTGCAATCATATTCGCAATGGGAATCCATTTGTTTTCTAGATGTTAGAATGCATTTCAGTAGGTGAAGACTATAGATTTATATTCCTATATATATATATGCCGTCAAACCATATACAACAAGAGTGAAACAGCTGATCCCGTACACCAGGATCACCTGGAATCCATCGGAATCATTTGGAGTCATCAGAATCATTCGAAATCACTCGGATTTACTTTTTATTTCGTCTGCTTTTCTACATTTCGGTGGTGAAACCTACATTTTCAAAGGAGAAAACATGATGCTATTCGGGCCATACGAAAGAGGACCCTTCATAACCCCCTGATCGGCGCGTACAACACTATGTTTTTCCCTTACAATAGTGGGGAAAACTCTTCCTCAAATCTGATTGGTCGAAAGAAAAAGCTCCTAGGCAATCAGATTTGAGGAAGAGTTTTCTCCACTATTGTAAGGGAAAAACATAGTGTTGTCCGCGCCGATCAGGGAGATACGAGGGATCCTCTTTCATATGGCCCGAACAATACCACGTTTCGCCCTTACAATAGTAGAGAAAACTCTTCCTGGAATCTGATTGGCTAGGAACTTTTTTGTAAGGATAAAACACGGTGTTGTTCGGATCATATGGAAGAGAACCCCTACAAACTCATTAGTCAGCGGGGGCAGCACTATGGTTTTTCCTTACAATAGCGAAGAAAAACTTTGCTGAATCTGCTTGATTGAGACGAAAAAGCTCCTAGCCAATCAGATTTGAGGAAGGACTTTATCCGCTATTGTAAGGACAAAACGTAGTTTTGTTAGGGCCGATCATAGGGTTTGCAGGAGTCCTCATTTATGTGGCCTGAACAACACCATGTTTTGTTCTTGCAATAGTGATGAAAACCCCTAATGAATCCAGTGGCCAGAATCATTGGAATCAATGGAATCGCTCAGAATCAATTGGAATCAACAGAATCACGGAATCATGGAATCAGCTGTTTTTCCCTTGGGGAAGAGTCCTTGCTAAGGTATCGGTCACAGTCTGTGAGGGGGAAGGGCAAGAGCAAGGGGGTAAAAGTGTACTTCTGTACTTCTCGATACTTCTCGGTGCTTCTCTGTATTTCAGGCTACTCCTCGTACTTTAGGCTAGTTCTGTTCCCAAAACAACAAAATTGTTCTGTTTTTGGGAAATGTCAAAAATTCTGTTCCTAGTAAAAGAACACTTTTGTTCTGTTTTGGGAACAGAACTAGTCTGAAGTAAGGAGAAGTGCAAAGAAGTACAGAAGTACGCTTTTTCCTCCTTAGACGAGAGGGAGTGGGTCCAGACTTCTACCCCTATACACGTGAACACTCATCTTTTTCAATTGTGTTTCACAAAAGGGTATTATAATTTAATTATGTTGAAGTATATCTCAAGCAAATTATATCATGGAAACATTTTTTTCTATTGTACGAAATTTTATTTTGGAATCGAAACTTTTTTTTTGTAGTAATTACAACATATAATGTCCACAACAAAGCAATTTAATAAGCAGAAACTTGATAAAATAACTCAAAACATTTCTGTTATATGGTTGGATGAAAATGTTTTTGAATCAAATTATTGTGTTGGAGGAAAGGATGACTTGCCGATGTTATTTACAAATATCAAAGCATTTGACAAAACAAATGATTTTATCAAACATATGTTAGATAACAAGCATGATCAGCAGGACATCATCCTCATTACAACAGAAAGATTATGGGAATATATGTCCTCAACAATTGATCAATACCTATCGATGATAAGAAAAATATACATAATAAGCTCACCAAGGTAAGTTGAGCCATAAAAGTAGTTCGATTCTTCCAAGAAAAAGCTATTAGTCCAGTCTTGGCGGGTATAATATGTGAAACACGATAGACCTACTATCACTGTTAGATATAAGAATACTATATTGCTGTTTTTTGTTTACATATTCCACTTTTACTAAATAATACTCTAGTAACGTTGAGCTTTATGTCAATGTTTTTACAAACTGGAAGCAGGAGTTTCAAATTTACCCAAATACACTTCGACACTCCTTTTAGGTTGTGTTTTACAGGAGCAACCAAACTTCAAAGGTGTCATAATATGAGGGAAGTGGTGGAAGCATTAAAGAAATACATCAATCAGTTATGTATTGAAACACTTAAAGATATTCCATTCGAAACACAAGGTGAAGTACGAGCTAAAACATTTGATTGTGATTATAATCAACAAATCTTTCATGATTATATAATTGTATGGCTCGATAAACGAATAAATGATATCCAAATGAAAGTTAATGACCGTTTACATTCTATTGTTGATTCTGTATCTTTTTACGACGATGTTGATCAATGTTTGGATGATATAACAGATTTTTGTAACGGTGAAAAAATATATTTTATTGTTTCTCATGAATTATTTCAAAATATATCCTCGACTCTTAAAGACTTGCAACAAATTCAATGTATTTATGTTGAAAGAGACGAGCCGTTTGCAATAAGATATCATCGAAACGATTATGATGTAACATATTGTTCATCCATAAACGAAATTCTTAATCAATTGGAAGAAAATTTGAAAATGAATGTTAAACACTCTATACAAATTTCTGTGTACAAACCATTTAAAAATCAGAAAACATGTCAATTAGGAGGAGATGATTTGGAATTTATTTTTCAATTATTCATTGAAACATCATTAAAAGTGCCGGAAGAATGCGATGAAAATGCTAAAGACGATATGTTAATACAATGTCGATCGTATTACAAAAATAATCAAACTGAAATGGATAAAATAAAAGATTTTGAAGAAAACTATCAGCCCAATTTGGCTATTTCATGGTATACTAAAGATACATTTCTCTATCGTATAATAAACAAAGCATTACGAACAAAAAACCTGTCTTTAATATACAAATTTCGATTTATTATCAAAGATTTACATAATCAATTGACATTAGCACACAATCAACAGTTTGTTCCGAACTCAAATTCGATTACTACTTATCGCGGACAGTTATTAAAACAGGAGGAATTAAATACATTAAAAGAAAATGTTCATGGTGTTCTAATAATTAACACATTCCTGTCAACAACATATGATGAAGAAGTTGCTCTTAGTTTTGCCGGTGACGGTGAACGTAGACCATTTTTAGAATCAGTTTTATTTGAGATGAATATACCATCTACAACAACAAAAATATTTGCAAATATTCAAGAATTTAGTAACCTAAAAACTGAAGACGAATGTCTTTTTTCATGCTGTACAATATTTCGTATTGATTCATGTAAAGAATTAGGATCTGGATGGCATGTTCAATTAACATTGATAGATCAGGATATGGAAAATACAACTTTTAATAGTTATCGATCGTTAGTTAATATTGATCGAATAATGCCCACATATTGGACATTATCCTCAATTTTATTTCATTTAGGCGATAGTGAAAAACGTCAACACTATTATCGTATGACATCTGGTAGATTGCCAGCGAAACATCCTGATTTTTTAACCGAATATTTTGTGCATGGATTACACTATAAAAGTTATAATTTAGCATTAGAATTCTGTAAAAAAGGATTCGAACAAGAACTAGTGTGTTCATCAAAATTAGATTATGATACACTTTTCCGTTACTATAGCGAAATAGGTTTGATCTGCAGTGAGACAAATGGTTATTCATTTGCCATAAACTATTACAAGAAAGCACTTAATATTTGCTTAGATGACAATCAATCATCAATCAGTTATTGCAATCTTGGATGGTTATATATTTGGATTGGAAAAGTGTATTATAAAATAGGTGAGTATCATGACATGATGTACTATTATAATAAAGGATTGAAAATTCAACAAGAACTTTATGGAAATAATTATATTGAACTTATCTCACTTTACAATGATATGGCATTAGGATATATTGAACAATCGAATTGTGAATTAGCAAAAATGAATACAATTAAATCACTCAGAATTTTATTTCCATCATCATTTTGTTCAAAAGGTTATTATTATTTTGAGCGTACATTCAGAAATATAATTCGAATTAAAGAAAAATTTGGTATTTTACTTCGATTTAAACACAGATGCATTCAACAACTATGTCCGATGTGTCGTGAATACGCGAAAATACAAAATAATGATGATTCTATAAAAGAAACTGTTCCAACTGGAAGAGTGTATTTCACTAAACCAGATAAATATGGCTATAAACAAGTGCAACTTTCCGATGGTCGAACACCAAACATATATTTCAGTGGAAATGGCCCCATATATACAGACCCAAATTTAAATTTGTACATTAATGGAGTACGGGTTGAAAATTCACGTGATTTTAGTCAAAATCTACACTAAAAACTTTCGATGTAATGTCTGTTACATTCACATGTGACATGCGATAGAACTGGCTGAATTGTACTTTTAAGACTCTCGATATTGATTACCGTATACAGGATTTACTGCCGTAGGATTTACTGCCATAGGATTTACTGCCGTAAACAATCTTTATAAGGCGCACTTTGTTTACATACAAAGGGTGTGGGTGGGTGGGGTGTGGGGTGTGGGTGGGTGACTAGGGTGGGGTGTGGGGTGTGGGTGGG